AGGCAGCTGAGCTGTCAAAACCCTCTCACGTGTAAGGGTCTTTCTAGTCAGAGAACACTTCCACACCCTCAGGTATTTCCAGCCCTCTGACTTCTGTTGGTTAAAAATCAAAGTTTTCTGTAAAAATCTTACAAAATTACCCCTCTTTCCTCTACCCCAAGCACTTTCTCGTTTTCAATTCCTGGCAGTAAGCATTGCACAGCAGCCTGGCCCTGCGCGGCCACAGCTACCACAGGGCTCAGCCCAAGCAGCGACAACCATGGGAACTTCACCTCCGGGCTGGTGAGGCCAAGGTCTCCAGCCAAAGGGATCCCTATCACCTTGGGGTTATGGCTTCACCCTCTCTACATAGTTCATAAAACACCACAGTGTGATGGCTTGCACTGCTCCCTGTTCAGTTATAAATGCTGCACCAGAGACTTCAATATGGCCATCCACGGACAAAAATTAAAGCTCTTAACTACACTGAATGGTATTAGCTATTTTTTAAAGGAATCACAGTTAGAAAATGTGAATTTAAGTAATGCAAAAGAGGAGAGTGATCTTCACAGTAAATTAGCTATTAAAAAACCCCCAAAAACTCAGATTTTTTTTTAAAAGTAACACCACAGATTAGAGACCAATTACAAACCTACAAGCAAAAATAGAGGATAATTAAGATACCTAATTACTTCCACAGATAGAAGGAGCATATAAAACTGAGGAAATAAGTGCAAAGTGAATATAGCCTAAGCAGTCAGGTGCATTTTAGATTATGAATGAGCCAGTTTCACAGACCACTGATAATTTTCAAGCAGTTCTGGAGAAGTGTTGTTTTGTGATCGTACTTACTGTTTTCAGAAGTCTGGGTCCTACTGTAAGTAAAATTAACACAGCCAGAGATCCTGAAGATATCACAAGTGAGTGTCAAACCATTCATCTGCTGCCATCGCCTCCCAGTCTCACTCTTATGGTCCTACCCAGTGTTGCTCGGGTGCTCCAATTCATTTAGCGTTTTCCCATGAAGAAATAGCCTTGGGCCCCAGCCTGCTTCTTTTCTTGTCAGACTGGATTAACGCCGAGGAACCTGCAAATGATGGTAAAGGTATTGCACTGCAAAGTGACAAACCCACTTGCAAACACACCCACAAAACTGCCAGGTTGCCACCTCTGCCAGGAGTCCACACGGATGAATCACACCTGCGTGGTTTGTACCCTTCCTGCTGGTGGAGGACACATCTTCTGCTCTCCTGTAACAGACCTTCTAAAGACCAAAACCAATTCATAAACAAAATCTGGTCAGGGTAACACAATATCCTTCATAAATGAAAGATAACACTACTGACAGTGTCTTACACAGCTAAAAAGCTCAATGAGCAAGTAATAATCTTTTCTTTATAGGCTATACTCATTGAGTGGGGTCAGAGTTGTCTGCTGAGCCTTGTGCCACGTTCACTGTCAGCTCTTTTAATACTGGCTTACTTCCAACAGCCAGTAATTTATAGTAAATAGTTTATGATAAC